CATGGACCCTGCTTGCTCCCCAAGCCCTTCCACTAGCCCCTCCATCCCAGCTCACCTTAGATTGGGTGGCCATTTTAAACTCCCATAATCTACCTGAATGTCTGTACATACTCTGTTCTGTAGATGTTATTGTCAACCAAATTCAGCTCCTTGAAAGTGAAATAGAAGTTCAGTTGACATACTCATGTTTATTGAAATATACTAGATTACTAAAAATGTATTCAGCTCTGTATTAAGTATCATAATCACATTTTTACATTAAACATAGTGTACAAGAACATAAAGTTTGGAAATTTAAACTCCTTCACTAGATTTTCACTCAAGTGCAGATTATTTAACATATATAAAACTGATAGATTTTTCTTTAGGAAATTTACATACTGGTTTAAAAGAACAGAGTTCATTCAAATATTGTTAACAACACCTTTTCTTTTTCCCACCACAGACACTATAGCTGAAAGAAATGCACTAAGAGAACATGTGTATCCAAAACTGAGAGAATTCTGCAGGGAAAACTACGGGCTGGAATTTCAGGTAGATTGAGATGTAATCTTCTATTATGATAAATTTTCAAAAATAGCATGGTTAATTATCTATGTTTAAAATATATGTAATGGTTTATTTTTATTTTGAAAAATTATAAGGTTGATTTAAACATTGGCAAAATACAAGCATATGCAAAATAAGTCACATACACTTTATATTAGAAATTTGTCAACTTGAAGTGGTCAAACCATCTTGAGTGAATTCGGCTGGTATTAATAAAAAGACAAGTAAGAAAAAAATGCTGAGTGTTCTAGAATTTTTTTTTTTTTTTGGCTGGGAACCTGGAGCAAACAGACATTTTCTCTTCAAAGATATGTATACAACCCAGTGATAACACTTGGAAATAGTAAACTATTAATAAATGGTAACTGTATTATTATCAGTTTTACTTTGAGCTGCATAAAGTCACAGTATCCGCATAGTACGTACAATAGTTGCACCACATTTTTTTTAAAACTTCCTCCAGCAAACAATAAATGGTGTTTGAGAGGAACAGTAGTGAAGTCTTGATTACTAATTAAATAAATATAGAATATTTTGTAAAAATACCCAGAGTTCTTGAATGATCATGCCCAGATTTGGAGAGCCATGATATGAAATCTTGGCTCCATTTCAAGTCAATGACAAAGTTCTCAACATTAATTTACTGGGGCCAGGAATTAATTAATTCTCCCTGTATCTTTAGAAATGGCTTTTCTTCACCTGTTTTATAACAGCAATGAATTAGATCTGATTTGAAAAGGAGAAGTTAAAAGTTTCCCTTGAAGTCACTGGGATTACTTACTTGAAGTTAGGTAAGGGTTTAAGTACCTTACTGAGCCATTGGCCATAAGTCTTTGAACCAATATTCTTTTGAAGTCATAGCTAAAGATCATATTTACAATGGCAAGACCTCTCTGTTAGAAACTTGTTACCCAGACCTAGGAATTCCTTCTTTAAGACACTGAATCTTTAGCACCCAGCTAATAAACAGGTGTTGACAAAGAGGCCAAGTATTGCATAATAAATAAACAATAGAATAAAATAAAATAGAAATGACATAAAAAGAAGCCAAAGGTTACATAAATTATCAACTCTTAAAAACAGACTAAATGAAAAATGTAAACCCATTTCAGACTTTGAGTGGCCAGTGACCTTGAGCTCAGGACTGGGCAAAATACAGTCTGCAGGCCATTCTATCCAGCCTGCAGAGCCCCTAAAAAATTTAGAAAATTTAATATTTTATCTGCCCCTGCCTGCGTGTCAAAGATGACAAGGCACCAGGGGCAGCAGGACCCAGTAGCCGCAGCATCAAGGCCTGTCCAGCTTCCCCTCCCACCCCCTGCCGGGAGCCTCTGCCTAGCAGAAGCTTCTGGCCTGGGGCCCTGGGGCTGTTCCCACCACCTTCTGCCAGAGAGGGAAATTCAGATAAGTAGGGGAGGAGGGAGGCAGAGGATCACGTGCGATCACCCCAGTCCTTGGGCCAGGCCAGGCCAGCTCCTGGCGTCCTGGCACTGCAGCCAGGAACCATGTGGTGCTGGAGCAGTGGGCAGGGGATGGAGAGAAGTGCTGTGGTGGTGACAGGAAAGCGGGGAAATGGCGGCTGCAGGAAGAGGGGTGGTAGTGAGCAGGTGTACAGGAGCACAGCAACAGCTGGGTGGGAGTGTGGAGCCTGTGCTTCAGTGCCAGTGGGAGCCCAGAGTGGGATGGCAGGAGCATGGGACCTGGGTTGGCAGGGGCTCTATGGAGCCGGGCTGACTCTTTCCTCCCCCTGCTGGTGCAGCCCAACCCAGCTCCATAGCGCCCAGGCTGCCCTGCCCTCAGCCCACACTGGTGCAGACCCCGTGCTCCCGCCCAGTTGTCCCTGCGCTCCCACACATCCACTCACTGCCACTCCCCACCACTTGCTGCTGCCATTTCCCTGATTTCTGGTCCACCGCCACCGCTGTTCCTTTCCACCCCATTTGGTTCCCAGCTGCAGCACCAGGACCAAAGGATGCAGCAGGAGCCAGCCTGGCCCCCATGATTCTTGGCTGGCTCTGTGCATTGCCCAACAGGTGAGTCTGGCTCCTGCTGCATCCTGTGGTCTCAGCCATGCAACTGGAACGTTGCTGGACCAGCAAAGTGGGGGACAAGAAGGGTAGCGGTGACAAATGGGGCGAGAAGCGATGGTGAGTGGCAGCATAGGGCTCGCACTGGTGCTCTGGAGCTAGGAGCCTGGAGCCCAGGCTTGGAGAAGCACTGGTGGGGGGGCTCTGCCTGCTGCAGGGGGGCTGTGAGCAACCCCTACACACATGACACAACCCTTCCCAGCCACCTTCCCTCCCCATACCCACCCAGACCCCCCCCACACACAATGCTTCCCCACCCCACACACACGCACTCATGCCCCCACATCCCTCCACAATATAGAAGAGTAAGACTTCATTTTAAACTATTATACAATCACCTCTATATACACTACACAAACATATAAATCAGAACAAAATATTTTTTGAAGTCAAATTAATGAATGTTTTAGTAAATGGTTGATTTTTAGAATATAATTTGGTATTTTTCTGGTTCTGAGATGGCAAATCACCTTGCCAAAAAGAGTACTTCTGGGGACAAGGGGAGGGACTCCTGGTGGCAAAGGTCAGGGGTTAGAGGGTGGGACTTCTGGTCCCAAGATGGCCCCACCCTGGCAAAGGGTAGGGCTACCCTTGCAGCCCTCGACCACTTGTCAAAACTTGGTAAGCGGCCTTCCACCCAAAATAATTGCCCTCCCTTGCTTTAGCTGCAGATTGAGTCCTAACCAAAACCCTGTCTTCAGCTGCACAGGCCTCTCTTCTAGGAGGGCAGCTGCATATTATGTAGTGGAAGGGGCCAACTCACCCAGGTGGCAACAGTTCTTCTGATGAAGTCCCAGCTAGAGTCCTCTCTCCAGTTCCACAGCCCCTATTGAAGTCAGTGAATGACTGTTCAGACCAGAGCCTCTGACAGGAGGAATAAACATGTGCAATTATTATAAAAAATATAATTAATTTTACAGACAAATACAACTTCAAATCTTCAGGCATCCTCAGCACTAAATTCACACAAAGCTGTGCCACTGCTTTCCCAGTAGGTTAGCTTTACAAAACAAAGCAGCACTGTCTTTAGTAATAACCATGGTAAATGCTTTTAAGACAGTCTGTATGTAAAGCTCTGCATGTATATTGAGCAACAAATTTTGATTGTGGCTGTTTTTATATCAAAACAGTTTTTTTAATCACACTCGATAGTCAATTCTATTGAATCAAAATGGAGTTGTTAAGCCTTTTTTGCATGTAAAGATAGCATTGTTTTGATTTTTTTTTTTTTAGATGATGGTTATGAAGCAACTTGACATAAGGATGCCAGCTGATCATCTCTTTGGACAGTCTCAGTAGTGTTACTGCATGAAGGGAATGCTAAGAGTGTATTAATTACTAAAACCAAGTTCTTCTTCTACTATCCTATTCTGGTTCTGAGATGGCAAATCACCTTGCCAAAAAGAGTACTTCTGGGGACAAGGGGAGGGACTCCTGGTGGCAAAGGTCAGGGGTTAGAGGGTGGGACTTCTGGTCCCAAGATGGCCCCACCCTGTTTACTATGAACATGAGTCGGCAATGTGGGGAGGCGGCTAGGAAAGCCAACTGCACCTTGTCGTGCATCCACAGATGCATCTCAAGCAGGTCCAAGGAGGTGATCCTCCCCCTCTATGCGGCACTGGTCAGGCCGCAGCTGGAGTACTGCATCCAGTTCTGGGCGCCACACTTTAAGAGGGATGTGGACAGCATCGAGAGGGTCCAGAGGAGGGCCACTCATATGATCAAGGGACAGCAGGGTAGGTCCTATGAGGAAAGGTTGCGGGACCTGAACCTGTTCAGCCTTCAAAAGAGAAGGCTGAGGGGGGATCTTGTGGCCTGTTATAAACTGGTTAGGGGGGATCAGCAGGCGCTGGGGGAGTCCCTGTTCCCCCGAGCGCCGCAAGGAGTGACCAGGAACAATGGTCACAAGCTGGCGGAGGGAAGGTTTAAGTTGGACATCAGGAGGCGCTACTTCACGGTCAGGGCGGCTAGAGTCTGGAACCAGCTTCCAAGTGAGGTGGTGCAGGCTCCCACCCTGGGGGTTTTTAAGAGGAGGTTGGATGACCACCTTACTGGGGTCATTTGACCCCAGTGCTCTTCCTGCCTTGGCAGGGGGTCGGACTAGATGATCTGCTCAGGTCCCTTCCGACCCTAGAAACTATGAAACTATGAAACTATACCCTATGGTATTCAGGGAAAATGCTGATGCTTTCTAACTTATCCAGATTTTTTATCTGCCTTACTCTTCAGCTATCTCTGGAGAGACACCTCAAAGAAAGAAGGGAACAAAATAAACTAACATCTCCTTTTTATATAACAAAATGCTTTTACACCATACTTGCAAGCAAAAACACATCCTGAGGTGGGCTATATTGTCCCGATATGATAAAAATATCAAAATACCTATAGTGTGAAAAAATGCAAGACTACAATTGTTACTTCAGTAATAATCAGTGAATATGCTTGCTGAGAAGGATAAGTAGCAATCCTGCTTCCTCTGGTCAGTATTTACAAAATAAAAAATATTATTTTATACCTTCAACCATTATTAGAAGACTGAGTGCCATAAGTCTCAAAACCTAGGAAAGTCTTTATACAGGAGAAGGTGTGGTGATCTGCCCCACAAGCAGAGAAGTTGATTTATCTGATTTGAATTTCCTTAAAAATGGGGGATCCCTAAGAGGCATTGAGGAGTCAAATTTAGTTTTCACATTACTCTTCACAGGTAAAGTTATGCAAAAAATTAAAAAATAAGGAAGTATTCTGGATTGGTTCTGGGGTAGCATTTGTGGGGAAAATGTTTATTTTTTGATTATCTTCTAACACGAAAATTCACCATCATCATTACTTTCATTAGATTACAGTAGTGCCTGTGAAATGCAGGGACTTTCCAGATAGAGAGGAGACCTAGTTCATTTC